CTGGGAAAATCCATCTCATGCATTGAAGTGGTCCTGTGGGCGCGACTACATGCCAGGAGGCTGCTGCCATTCCAGCAACTCAACGCTCAAGGTCCCTAGCCTTGGTTAGGAGACAGTTGGTGGCACTGGCCACAGTGCTACCTGGGGAGGGGCCCTTCTCCACTACCTCGTTTGCCCTTAGTTAAGAGGTTCCTCAAGGGGGTGGCCCACCTTTGTCCACCACCAGTCCACAGGTTTCCTACGTGGCACCTTCTCACGGTACTACGGGCCCTTATGGTTGAGCCTTTTGAACCACTCCGGACGGTTAGCTGGAAGCTCCTCACTTGTAAGGTTGTGTTCCTGGTAGCTATCACCTTGGCTAGGTGAGTCTCGGAGCTGGGGCTCTCTCCTCCAGGGAGGATCTATGCACGTTTCACAATAACAGGGTAGTGCTACGCCTGGAACCAGCTTTTCTGCCAAAGGTAAACACGGTCTTCCACCGGGCACAGGAGGTGGTTCTTCCGGACTTCTGCCCAGACCCGACCAGGGAGCGGGAGCACAGCTGGCACCATTTAGATGTAAGAAGGGCCTTACAGATTTACCTAAGGCGGATAGCAGAGTTTTGTAGGTCTGAGGCTCTGTTTGTGTCATTCCAACCCTCGTCGCTAGGGAAGGGGGTCTCCCCGTCCACCATTAGCCGCTGGATCCGTCTGGCCATAGCCCTCGCCACGAGGTGCAGAACTTGCCGGTTCAAGCCGGCATCACAGCCCACTCTACTAGGAGTGTGGCCATCTTGGCAGCCTGGGCCTCCGAGGCCCCTATAGAAGACATCTCCAGGGCAGCGACATGGGCATCCCTGTCGCCCTTAATCTGGCACTACAAGCTGGATGCCTTCGCATCTTCCAACGCGGCATTCGTCCGCAGGGTCCTGCAACAGGTCCTGTCGGATCAGTGAGAGCCCATGTTTGGGACGAAACTTGGGTATGTCCCATCTCTGGACCATCCTGCAAACTCATTCTGGAAAATGACAGTTGGTCATACATATGGAACTGATAATTCCGTAATAAATGTACATATG